AATTTCATTACTTTAAGCTATGCTTTTATACTGTACCAATCATACAGTTTCTTCCACATCTTTTGAAATGTCGGGTCTGTTGCCCCTGCAACCCCCAATTCTTAAGGAGGGAAGAAGTGACTTCTGCTGTCTGGAGCACAGTGAGGTGGTTAGAGAATTCAGGAACAGGATCTGGGAGAGCCAGGTTCGAATTCCCACTGTGCTATGGAAGCTTGTCGGGTGACCTTGGGATAGTTGCAAGGCTGACATGCCTTACAGGGTTGTTGTGAGGGGGAAATGAAGGAAAGGAGAGCTCTGAGCTCCTTGGACGAAGGGCGGGATGAAAATCGACTAGAACAGGAAGACTTGCTGTCAGAATCTCAGGTCACCAGGACTGGCTTCACCTAGCATCTGAAGGATAATAATGGCGGAGCCAGGAGAACATGCCTAGGGGAAAGGAAGGGCCCAAGTTCCTTCTAGCCTCTTCTGCTGTTTCCAGCTGGGGACAGCCAGTTGCTTCTCGGAAAGACCCAAGCAAGGCATGGAAACAACAGCCCTCCTTGGAGCAATTGGTATTCAAAGGTAGGCTGCCTCTGAGCGTGGAGGTTCCATTCAGCCTTCCCCACTAACCCTTAGAAAGGGGCTGCAGTGGCTCAGTGGTTAAGATGCTGAACTGCAGACTGGAAAGTCGGCAGTTCGAGACCCGGGTGCTGCGTGACGGAGTGAGCTCCTGCCTCTGGTCCCAGCTCCTGCCAACCTAGCAGTTCGAAAGAAAGAAATTGCAAGGAGATAGATAGGTACCACTTCGGTGGGAAGGTAACAGCGTTCCGTGCGCCTCGGCATCTGGTCATGCCGGCCACGTGACCACGGAAACGTCTTCGGACAGCGCTGGCTCTTCGGCTTGGAAGCGGAGATGAGCACCGCCCCCTAGAGTCGGATGCGACTGGCTTCTGAGCAAGGGAAACCTTTACCTTTTTACCAACCCTTAGCACAGAGGTTCCTCTCTTAGTCCTCGGAATTAATTGTTGCAGATAGGCACTGGTGCCAAAAACCTCTCTAAGCTCTTTGTGAGAAGGAAAGAGCAGCCACGCAGGATCAGTTCCAAGGTGCCGCCGACCCAGCATCCTGTTTCCAACAGGGGTCAGCCAGATACCTCTCAGACCCAGCAGAAATCAAGAAAGCCAGGTGGGCGGGGCGCCTAGGAGCTGCACCCACACGGAGCTGTGCAGATCACATGACGGTTGCAAACCTTTGCAATTGGGCTGGCTTGCCCACAAGGGGAAGATCCAGCTGTCAACACCAGCTGCTAACACGCGGACAGGCCAATCCCCAACAGAATGCAGTTGTAGCCTGGAAAGAACCATCAATTCCAGGTCTCAGCCGAAGGCAGAATGCTGCTGCTTCTCCCCCCCCCAACACACACACAACTAACTCGGGTTGCCACCCCACAGGTGGTGCCTGGAGATCTCCTGGAATGTCAACAGATCTCCAAATGACAGAGACCAGTTTCCCTGGAGAAAATAACAACTTTGAAGCGTGGCGTCTATGGCATTATATCCTGCAGAGCTCCCTCCCCAGGACCGGTGTCCCCTCTAAGCTGAGTGCGTGTGAGCTAGCTCACAGCTTTTTAGCCTCTGGCTCACACATTTTTGCCTTTGCTCAGGAAGGAGGGCTCCAGGACAAACCAATGTACGCAGTCGCCAAACCGCTCGCTCACCACTTTCATGCCGGCAGCTCACAAAGTAGAATTTTTGCTCACAAGACTCCACAGCTTAGAGCAGTGGTGGCGAACCGATGGCACGGGTGCCAGAGGTGGCACTCAGAGCCCTCTCTGTGGGCACGCGTGCCATCGCCCACAGGCCCAGACCGTCATTCAAGTGTCGAATTCTCTGCCAAATAATTTTAAGTCAATGAAAGCATTTGGGATTGCTTTCCTTACTTTATTTGGATCATCTTAAGTTAATGGATAAGTTGTGTTTTTTAAAGTAAAACCTAAATAAGTGGGTTTTGGGTCGCAGTTTGGGCACGCGGTCTCTAAAAGGTTCGCCATCACTGGCTTAGAGGCAGTGTTGCCCAGGCCCCATCATCATACCTCCAGGAACAGGGAAAGCCACCGGGGTTTCAAGGAGAGACGTGAGCAGAGGCAGTGTGTCGTTCCCTGCCTCTGCACAGCAACCCTGGACTTCCTCAGTGGCCTCCCATCCAAGGACTAACCGGGGTGACCCTGTTTAGCTTGAGATCTGATGAGATCGGGCTGGGCCGGGCCATCGAGGGCAGAGCAGACAAACAGAAGCGGTTTGCCACGGCCTGCCTCTGCATCACAACCCTGGTATTCCTTGGTGGTCTCTCCCCACCGAGGGCTAACCAGGGCCGACCCTGCTTAGCTTCCGAGATCTGATGAGATCAGGCCAGCCGGGGACAAGGGATGAACAGAGGCGGTTTTGCCATTGCCTGCCTCTGCGCAGCAACCCTGGCCAGCGCGGCCTCCCCTCCAAGTACTAACCAGGGCCGACCCTGCTTAGCTTGCAGGATCTGACGAGACTGGGCTAGCCTGGATTACCCGAGTTAGCCCACCCCCCGCGTTAGTTAAGCTCACCCCTTGCATTCTTAAGCACACTGCCTCTGGACCTGGAGGCTCCACGGAGCTGTCACGCGGACTTCCGAGCGAGGCCCCTCCCACCCCGGCCCTGTCTTTGCAACAGTCCCCCGCCCCCCTCCCGCTCGGCCCCTTGCGCCTCCCCCCATCCGAGGCCTGGACCCGCTTCCTTTCCTTGCAGGCGCGTCTTACTTTGCGGTAGGCTTTGAAGACCGTGGCGTAAGTGCCGCTGCCGAGCCGCTCGGTCAGGATGAAGTCCTCCAGGTGCGGAGGGGCCCAGCCGGCCCCTGCCATCCCGGCGGCCGCCCCATGCACCGCCCGCGGCGGCCCAGCCAGCCCGGCCTCCCTCCCCTCCCCGGCCGCGCCGCCGTGCAATGCAATGCAATGCAATGCAAGGAGGAGGCTGCCGCCGCCGCTTCCTGCTCGCCCGCTTAAAGGGCCCGCAGAGGCGGGGAAGGCGGCTCTCCTTCCCCCCCAAGCGGCAGCTCGGAAGAAGTGCAGGTTAGATAGCGGTTGCCAGCCTCCAGGTGGGACCTGGGGCTCCCCCGGACCTGGGGCCCCCCCCCCCCGGAATTTCAGCTCATCTCCGGACTACAGAGATCTGTTGCGATGGAGAAAAGAGATGCTTTGGAAAGTGGGCTCTATGGCATGGGGCAACACTGAGGTCCCTGCCCTCCCCCAGGCTCCATCATCTCCAAATCCTCCAAAGGAAGTTTAGAAAACTTATTGAGGGCCAAACGTTAAAAACATAAATAAGTTACAGGGCTCTTTTTGTAGAAAAAGCCCAGCAGGAACTCATTAGCATAATACCCAATAGCAGGAAGTCATTAGCATTAGTCCACACCCCTGACAGCGCAGCTCATTCGCATATTAGGCCACACCCCCATGTTACCAGAAGTGTGCTCATCCAGCCACACCCACCTTTTGCTTGTTATTCTCTTTACCTTGTTTGTTGACAAAACCCAGGGCTTTTTTTTTTGGAGCAGGAACTCCTTTGCATGTTAGG